ATAAATGCATACCTGCCCTCCCCGCATCCTTTTGACAACATTGATGACGATGAAGCTGCAAGGTGGAAAATCCAAAAAGGGGGGGGGCCTTTGCAGCCCCTCCCCCACAGGCCTGGCCATTTGGCCCCCGAAGGAGACAGGAGCTCTGCTGCCCCCATCCAGCCCGGCCTCAGTCACAACCGGAAGCAGCTAGTTCACCCCAAAGAAGCTTCAACTCACTTTGGCGGTGCGCAGTCCTTTGGACTGGATCAGGTTCTCCCATGCGCTGTAGGAACGTCACTCCCCTTGGATCTCCTGGCCTCATTATGCCCATATTCCCCCCTCCCCATACACAAACATGTGCATAGACTGGGTGTCTGGAGTTAGAATCATAGAATGTTAGAGTTGTCACTTTGGCGGTGCGCAGTCCTTTGGACTGGATCAGGTTCTCCCGTGCGCTGTAGGAACGTCACTCCCCTTGGATCTCCTGGCCTCATTATGCCCATATTCCCCCCTCCCCATACACAAACATGTGCATAGACTGGGTGTCTGGAGTTAGAATCATAGAATGTTAGAGTTGGAAGGGACCTTGCAGGTCATCTAGTCCAACCCCCTGCACTCGGCAGGAGCATAGCTGAAAGAGAGCCCTACAGAGGCAGTCTGTTCCACTGCTCAACCACTCTGACAGTTAGGAAGTTTCTCCTGATATTTAGCCGGTATCGGCTCCCTTGTAATTTCCACCCATTAGATCTAGTCTTGCAATCCGGAGCAAGAGAGAATAGATCTGCTCCATCTTCTACATCTTGGCAGTGAATTCCATGTGTTAATCACTCTTCACCCAAAGAGTGATTAACATTCCCAGGCTAAACAGACCCAACTCTTTGGTCAGCCTCTCCCCATAAGACTTGGACTCCAACCCTCTCACCATCCTGGTTGCCCTCTTCTGGACACGCTCGAGCTTGTCAACATCCTTCCTAAAATGTGGTGCCCAAAACTGGACACGGTACTCCAGGTGGGGCCTGACCATAGCAGAACAGAGCGGAACGACCACCTCCCGTGATCTGGACACAATGCTTCTGTTGATGCATCCTAAGTCCGCATGGTCAAAGCAATGGTATTCCCAGTAGTCATGTATGGCTGCGAGAGCTGGACTATAAGGAAGGCCGAGCGCCGAAGAATAGATTCTTTTGAACTATGGTGCTGGAGGAGACTCTTGAGAGTCCCTTGGACTGCAAGAAGAACAAATCAGTCAATCCTCAAAGAAATCAACCCTGACTGTTCCCTGGAAGGCCAGATAATGAAACTGAAGCTCAAATACTTTGGCCACCAAATGAGAAGGGAGCACTCACTGGAAAAGACCCTGATGCTGGGAAAGATTGAAGGTCAAAGAAGACGGAGACGGCAAAGGATGAGATGGTTAGACAGTGTCATCGATGCAACGAACATGAAGTTGAGCCAACTTCAGAGGACGGCAGAAGACCGGAAGGCCTGGAGAGAGCTCGTCCATGGGGTCGCGAAGAGTCGGACTCGACTGTGCGACTGAACAACAACAACAACAAGACTG